TGTAATTAGGCCGTCTTGCACCAGAGTCCTCCAGGAGCACACAATATACTGAGAATACAACTACAGAGGCAGTTCTATCTTATTCATGGAAGGATGCAGTTATGTGTCTAGTTATTTGTTTTTGAACTCATTTATATAAATACGTGTGTTCGCCTTAAGTCCTTAAATGTCTCTCTTACAGGCCAGATATCATATGCCACCAAAGTCTGACCAAGGAGATCGGTTATCTGTCTAAAGAATCGAGTCATCTATATAGACACGATTTTGTCTGCTCGACCGGCCAGTTAGCTGAGACAAATAGAGGTGGTGACCATCATAGTAATAGTTATAAAAAGAAATGGCGGTGGTTTTACAGAAAGAACAAACAGAAGAGAGAAAAGTAGAAATTAATTTGCCAGCCAGTTGGCTCAAGGCGAGTCAGGCAAAGTTTATTGGAGTGATTTTTTCATGCCGTTGGGGAGCTTTATAAAATCCCGCATGCATTCGCCGGGAAAGAACGTGTATTTTTATATTTGCGCATGCGCTTGTCTGCGAGAGCAACAGTGACTGCTAGAGAGAAATGAGCGGACGGTATCTCCTCATAGTCATTAAGACCGTCGTCTATATTGCTTCCCTACTTCTTACGTGTATTTTGGTGCATATAAACTCAAATACATCTTCCGATACAGTAATTACTAGTATTTCTCAAGGTCTGGTGAATTCATGCGAAGAGAGTCCAAAATATGACTTAGCACCAACTAACTTTGTTTGCAGATTCCCCTGCCCAGAAGATCTCCTGGCCTGGTTACGCCAGCTTCATGGCAACTGGACTCGAGTAAATAGAATGGTCGTTTATTTTGTACAGAAAGCCCAAATTTGTCGTCGTATCTCACCAAATCTGCTCCACAACCACTTTCCTCGGCTACGGATACTGCTTGTACACGCCCATCGCTGTCCCTTTCTTCAGCTGCCTGAGAGCGATGATCTACCCTGGTTAAACCAATTAAGCCTTCTCTTCCCCTTACCACAGCCTGACACTCCAATTTTGGAAACCACTTCCCCCAAACCATTGTCAGTAGATCGACAGAAGTCAGGTAAAATACATTATCAGCTCGAAAGGCTGGAAGCTGCCCGTGGTCAGTGTTGTGATCTTTTTAGTGGTATCACGGAGTTACCACGTTTACGCTACCTTACTATTGGATGCGCCCATGTTTCCATAACCTCAACCACCCAATGCGCTAGGGAGTTTTCATTAGAAGCAACAGGCAACAATATTTCCATTCCAGCAAATGTTGTTCCACTACCTGAAAGATTGATTATAGCCCCACAACTAAAACACCTTCAAGCCTTATTTACTGGTGCTAATGAACAGCCGACATGCTTGGTACATCGTCTCAGGAATCTTACTTTATTACACCTCTACACCCTAGAAGATTCGATGCACACAGTACTCACGCCAAAGAGTCTATTTGATCTGCCCTCTTTGACCGATGTTATTATGCGCTTTGGGCAGCATGTTCATCTCACCAGTCAGCTTGAAGATTATCCACGTCTAGGATCAAGCCATGTCCGCCATCTGCGCCTCCAGGCTCTTCAAGGACAAGTATTGCCTCAGATGGCAGACCTTTGGCATTGCCATGATTGCACCGGATTGTCAGAGAAAGATGCGGATGAGCTATATAATGAAGAGGAGCTTGAGCCATTTAACCCTAAGTTTGAAAAGGAGGAAGAAAATGAAAGTAGAGTGAAAGAAAATAGTGAATTGCTTTCAAGTCAGACGATTGTGGAATGGATCCGTCCTGGCCAACAGGTAGTTCAAATAAGATCCTTTATTCTTTCCTCCTGCATTTGGACAGACCGAGTCTGTCGTAATTTGACCAGTATTCTGCCTTACGGAAACTTCAGTCTAAACACCACTGACCTCTTTTTAGAGGATACCAACGTATGCCATTTGGACGCTTTAGGTTTGCGTCGACTTCCACAACTACGCCAACTCGTGATTTCAGCCCGCAGCTGCGGTGAACGCCTTCATAGGTTCGGTCAATTATCTCAAGCACCCGAGCCCAGCGAACTTCTGGCAAGCCTACCTCGACCATGGATCCTGCGTAGACTACAGTTTGAGGTTGCAGTCTGTTCATGTGAAGACATGGTCCGAATTGGACTCCTCGAAAAGGGGCTACCAAAAGCAATTATCAGAGTAAATTGCCGCAATCTCAAGTGCTTGACTAGGCTGCCTGGGGATCTGGCTAAAATGGGGATGCATGAGCACGAGGGGTGGAATGACGGCGAGTTCCTAATAGTCCCTGGACAGCTACGACGCGCATTAGCTGAAATTTGTGATTCTGAGTCTGTCCAAGGACGAAGACTTGTACCTGGTTCGCGGCTTGACAACGCAACCAACCCGGTTGATGTGACGCTTGGTATTAGAGATCAGATGGGGCGGATGCCTCTGGCGTCACTGGCTGGGTTGGAGGAGTGTGAGAGGCGCCTGGCCGCTATACAGAGAAGCCAGTCTGCTATAGCCACATACTGGCCTCATTTTGGCCTCGGTCGTGTGAATCTCTTACTACTTAGTTCTCTGCAGGTTCAACTAATTGTCTGGTTGTGAGCACCTTGACCAAGATGGCTACAGTCATGCTACAAGTCGGATAAAAGGTGCTCGAATGGTTATTTTGCTGAGTTAACTTAAGTTAAAAGTTACCAACCACATAGCGAAATGGGAAGAAGTAGATTATATCGCTACCTACTTAATGCTAGGATGAACCTTTTCAGCTTCATATTCACTATCTATATACCCTTTCGAAATAATTTGCCTTGCAATACATTTTTACGAGGGAGAAGAGAAACATTCAATAACATTCCATATTTTTATACGGAGTTTTAATCACCTCTCTATAAGGAAATGATAACCCGTATTAATGGGTTCTTGGATGAACCTGTATGTTCACTAATTTTTTCATTCAACCAGACCGGCATCGAAATGTTTAAGTGTTGTATCTGTAATCAGCTTATTTTTGTGTTCCAGTTTTGATAAGTTTTTTGGTCAATGTTTTATGTACAAATAAATTTTCTGAAAGAGCATTTATTTATTAATAACGTAATGACAACTTTTGAATTCGAATAACATAATAGTAATACATTTTACTAAATATTTACTTTGACAAAAATTATTTTAATTTTTGTTCAC